CAAACTGTATTGTGAATAAATCATTTGCATATTTTTTCATATTAGACAAAAATATTCTTGAAATGAATTTAAAAATTGAATAAATATAAATTTACACACATTTACACAAGTAAGCCAGACTGACTCAAATAACTATTTTAGAAAAAACTTTAAAGACAGTGACATATATTTAATGTTTTCTAAGTCGTGTAGTGTATTTTAGGCAGTTCTTACTAATGAATATTCATGTTTTGATTTGAACTTGATACTTGAAGTTTTGATAAAACTGAACTTGTTTTACAACTCGCCACATTTCACAAAGTGTCAATTGATTTTTCAATGTCACTTCATGAGCTTGATTGGCCTTTGTCTGGACGTTTTCAGGGACAACAACCAGAGATTTTTCGATAAATAATTCCATATACATTCATTCATTTTCCTGTCGGCTTAGTCCCTTTATTAATCCAGGGTCGCCACAGCAGAATGAACCGCCAACCGCCAACTTATCCAGCAGGTTTTTACCAGACGCAATCCATCTCTGGAAAACATCAACACACACACACACTAATACAATTTAGCCTACCCAATTCACCTGTACCACATGTCTTGGGACTGTGGGGGAAACCAGAGCACCCGGAGGAAACCCACGCGAACGCAGGGAGAACATGCAAACTCCTCACATAAACGCCATCTGAGCCGAGGTTTGAACTAGCGACCCAGCAACCTTTTATCCTACTGCTGAGGCGACAGCACTACCTACTGCGCCACTACGTCGCCAATTTCATATATATATATTTATATATACAGTTGAAGTCAGAATTATTAGCCCCCTTCGATTTTCTTTTCTTCTTTTTATAACATTTTCCAAATGATGTTTAACAGAGCAAGGACATTTTCACACTATGTCTGATAATATTTTTTCTTCTGGACAAAGTCTTATTTGTTTTATTTTGGCTAAAATAAAAGCAGTTTTGAATTTTTTATTAACCATTTTAGGGACAAAATTATTAGCCCCTTTAAGCTATATTTTTTTCTCGATAATCTACAAAACAAACCATCGTTATACAATAACTTGCCTAATTCCCCTTACCTGCCTAGTTAACTTAATTAACCTAGTTAAGCATTTAAATGACACTTTAAGCTGTATTGTAAGTGTCTTGAAAAATATCTAGTAAAATATTATTAACAGACATCATGGTAAAGATAAAATAAATCGGTTATTAGAAAAGAGTTATTAAAATTATTATGTTTAGAAATGTGTTGAAAAAAATCTTCTCTCGGTTAAACAGAAATTGGGGAAAAAATAAACAAGTGGACTAATAATTTAGGGGGGCTAATAAATCAGACTTCAACTATATATATATATATATATATATATATATATATATATATATATATATATATATATATATATATATATATATATATATATATGGTTGTTGTTCCTCCAAAGATGACAATCTGTGTTCTAATTAAAATCTCAGTTACATTTGTGTTAAAATTAAAGGAGCTTTAATTTTAGTTACTTATCTTTATGCAAACATGTTCCACGTCACTAGGTTGCAATAAAGTCAAAATGTTTATTTCAGTAACCTTAGGTTAATTACATAAAGTTAATTAAATGTTGATAACAGAAGAACTGACAAGTATCACATGTTAAAACAATGGGACACTTGTCCAATGTGAGCTGAAAAATCAAATACAAAGCATGTGATGCAAGTTTGCACATTAACCCATTCGGTCTATGTAGAGTTCCTGATTTAATTCCAACTCAAACATCAAGTGTCCATGATTTCACAGGGGTGTGCTCTCCCATTTGGCCCAATTGCATTGTTTGCACATAGGTTTGATTGTTTTTGTTTTTTCCTTCAGCCATTAGGAATGTCCGTCTTGGCAAAGCATCGCTTAACTGTTAAAGGAATTGCGTTTTTTTTTATGTCTGTATACTGTATGGTATAACAAAAAATTTTTTCACAATTTTAATAAAAATTATATATATATATATATATATATATATATATATATATATATATATATATATATATATATATATATATATATATATATACACACACACACACACATACACATTCATATATATATATATATATATATATATATATTTTTTTTTTTTTTTTTTTTGGGGGGGTAATTTCCAGAAATTCGCTGACAATTTTGCAATTTAATAATAATAATAAAAAAAATAATAATAATAAAAAAAAAAATATATATATATGAGCAATTCCATGCAAATTCTGCGTTTTGTTGTTTAGGCTTGTACTTTGCAGTGCTTTAATAATACTCAAAAATGTCTCTGTCAATGTTCTTAAACAATTATATTTGACTTACCAAAGTCATACAATTTCACATCTGTCATATCCATAACAGAGAGATGTCACATCTATATATACTATGTTAGATGTGCAATCCAACACAAATCATAAAAATAAAGCTTCTTTATTTTGATATCTTGTCAAAACAACGTTAGAGATTAAGCCAAAGGAAGGTTATACAACTCTTATTTTTATCCATGATCTTACTTTCTCTCAGATTTCACTCCTCGGAGCATCTGACATTATGTACCTCACTCAAGACATTACGCGTTAGGGCTTCCCCTACTGTAATACACCTAAAACACAGATTGTCGTAAAACTTGTCAATGGCAGGGAAGCGTTTTCTCTTGTCAACGGCAGAAAAGGAGATAAACTAAATTATTTATCGATTTGACGCACACCGTAAAACAGGCCACAGATGTATAGCACAAATAATGTTTTTCAATTCAGTCACATTCAAAGGCCTTCATTCTTGAACCAATCTCTCACAGTAAGCTGCTTGCAGTTCTGTCTGTTCCACTGCTCAGTTTGATAGATGTTTCTTTTGCAGTCTGAAGCACGACAAACGCACAAAACCCCCAATTCGTGCCACAGGATGTCTAATCCTATCTTTGCATTGAGCTCACATGTAAATCATTCCCTTTTCATCTGAATCTGCTTGCTGCACAGGCTGCAAAACAATCCCCCACTTCCAATGTAATGTAATAATTGTGAGGGCGCTGGTGGGGCGTCATTTTTCAAGAGACACTCAAATATATCACATGCCCAGTGTATGCAATGTCTATAAGTCATGTAAAACAATAAATTGCAAACTGAAGTAAATATATTTTCATTATTTGGTTTGGAATTTGATGTTTTATGAAATCATTTACATTTTTGTAATTATTTTGCAATTTAAATTAAGAATTTTGAAAGATTGCAAAAATTTGCAACTTTTTGATAATTTTGATTGGACTCAGCGATTGCGGAATCGCTGAAAACTAGGAGGTCTGATTTAATGACCAGCACTTACCGCGGTTCTGGTCAAAAGGCACAGCACAATTCCACGCAAATCCTGTACAATTCAGTAGACAGCTGAAGTTGGTCCTGACTGCCGACATTATGCACTTCAAGGGCAACCAAAACTTTCTTGACAAGTTGCCAGACTGGTCGTACACGGTCACCATCGCTTGAATACGATACCATTTAATTTTAACCCTGAATGGCTTGCACTAAGTTGGCAAGACTTTACAGCTATTTAAAGATTTAAAACTAATTATTATTAGCCTCAAATCTAACGTGACAACTTATTACACTTATTTTTCAATGTTCATCGGTTAAACATGTATAGTGTTTTGGTTTTTCCTTTAGCGATTAGGATTGTGTGACTGTCCACTTTTGGCAGCTAGGGCTTTGACAATTTTGTTTAAATGTTTCATGCTAATGAAATGCTAATGTATTAATGTAAATTAATTTCGAATCAGTACTATAAAGCAAACTAGGGCTGCAACAACGAATTGATTAAAATTGATTACTAAAAGCGATGGCAACGAACTTCATAATAGATTCGCCATGTCGCATGACACAGAGACGTTTGATTATTAAAACAACTTTAGTCTGCTTCTCTCGCGCACTGATGCCAGAGTTCGGCGCCTCATAAACAGGATGGAGCAAAAAAACAGGAGGAGGTAACGTTAGAAGAAAGATACATGCAGAAGAAAAGAGCAACAACAGGATAAATCACTACAGAATTCTACTTTTCCATTTTGAAGTGAGGAACATGACATGAAAAATTCAAACTGAGCTTTGGTGCGTTGGTTGGCACTGAGCCAGAGAAAGACTTGTCATATTATCAAAATTACACACTGTTTTTAACCAGCCAATGCTTATTTTATGTTTTAGACTTGTAAATACACACAAGTACCAGTAAAATAATACATTTAAAGTTTGCAAAACACAAAAGAAAGTCTATGAAATTCTAACAATCCATTTAAATATAATTTGCTGATGTGTATCATTCATATCAGATACGCATAGTGAAAGTAACAATAAGGTTCTATCTATTCTTCTCCAAGCTGGCCAGGCACTTGCTTACATGCATTCTGGGAGTAACTGATGAATATACATGCTGAATCCTGCATGTTTTGCTTTTATGAATGAGACAAACGAGCGTTTAGATCACGGAATAAATCATGATCAAGACCATTTATATGTGCTATGAGCAAGCATGTAAATATTTCGTATTAAAACGGTAAAGCATAATAAAAGGGATACATCTGTCATACATTGTGGCTGTGGTGTGTCACATGACAAACATGAGTGAGTTAAACTTAAAGTCTTTTTAGATATTTGGATTGAAAACTTTTTATTTTATTATTATTATTATTATAACAGCTCAGAGATGTTCAAGGACAACATGTTTGTGCACTTTCTAAAGATTTTAGTTCTGTTTTTTAAAAAAAGGCTGGAAATGAATACTTTTCTTTTTTTTATCCGATTCATCAATTAATCTACAAAATCATTGACAGATTAATCTATTATTAAAATAATTGTTAGTTGCAGCCCTAAAGCAAACTATACGTGGGTCCAAAGTATAGAATTTTGTGCACAGTATCAAAAATACTAAAAAACTATTATTACTAAATTTCACACCAGGAAACCAAGGACACCAGTTGCCCTTACAAATAGACATCCATGCATTATACACACCCAGTTTTCAGTTTTGCGCGCCCGTCTCTCCAAACTCTTTTGAAGTCTCTCTCCTACACCACCAGGTTGTAGAAATTCGTCCATGAGCTTGCATGTGTGTGCCATCTCCTCCTCACTGATTAGTGGTTCGAGCAAGGCCAGATATCGAGAACATGTTTGCTTCAGTGGAGGAACGGGTAGCTTTGGCAGACTTTCTTGATGTAACAGCGACCGGTCAGAAATTTGGACAACTGGTATGGGACTCAGTAGACGGCAATGTTTCACCAGGCCCGTCCTTGCCTAAGAATGCAATTATTATAACAATTATAACTGAACCTGCAATAATCTTCATAAAAATAAAACAATGTATCAGGTTATTTTTAAAATACAGAAACCAATGTGTGTGTGTATTCCTAAATATGAATTTTCCTAAAATTAGCATTTTTTCCCTCAGGCTGTTTGTAGGTTTGTTCATTTAAATTTTATTTCTATGTATGTTATTTTAATCGCCTTTAAGTTACATAACTTTATCCAAAAAAAAAAAGAAAAAAAAAAAGCTAATTTTAGAAGTAGATCTCAGGCAGCACTTTGAGGCTTAATTTTGCATCTGAACTTTGCATGGGACCTTCCAACACAATTCAAATCTAAACTTGTAAGACTGATGGATGCATTATGTCGATCTGCCCCGCTGTCAAAAGTAGGATACATAGTGCCACTGTTCTTGACAACCTCCTTGACATTTTTTGTTGCTGATTTGTCCTCTAATTACGGACCATTTTAACATCTAATAATTCGTTTGTTATGTTTATTGGAACGTAACGTCACATAGTAATAAATAAAATGTCTCAGATTAAGTAAATATAAAGTAAAAACACAATAAATGCTATAGATGGGACGTTGCTGCTACCACTGGCGCATTTGGCAAGGCGTTCGCTTAACTGTTAAAGGCATTGCGTTTATTTAATGTCAGTAAGTTGTATGCTGTAATAAACGGCACTTACCGCTGTTCTGCTTAAGAGACACAGCATAATTCCACGCGAATCCTGTAGATTTCAGTTGACAGCTGAAGTGGGTGTCCCCGACATTATGAGCTTTCAAGGGCGACCAAAACTTTCTTGACAAGTTGCCAGACTAGTCGTACACTGTCGCCCTCGCTTGAATAAGATTGACAACTACAACTAACGTTACCGAGATACCAGTTAATTTTGACCCCGAATAGCTTGCACTGTGTTGACAAGTCTTACGACTGTTTAAAGATTTCAAGACTGTTCAGTAATTAATATACAGTTTTATTAGCCTATAATCTAGAGTGGTCTTTTATTTAGTGGTCAATCGGACTAAAAAAACAAAAAAAAAACATTGCCGTCTATCGGTCTGTGTGACCTGTTTGGACGTTCGCAACGTCATCACTAAGCGACTGTCAATACAACAACAGACTGCGTTCAAAATACTTTTCATAACTCATTGGAAATAACTTATAAAACGCCGTTTTTTAGTCAGACATACGATCTGTAAACTCTGTGAATGTTGCAGAACATTGACATCATATTTGACATAACTTCTCAGGTGGAGCTACTTTATGTGAAACTTTAAATAAAACGCTCTAGTGTTTTGCAGCGCAAAAGGTGTGAGGACGCTAACGTTACCAATAAAGGTTACTTTCGAAAGCATTAATGGCGTCTTTTTTCCTTTTGTTCAGCTGAAATTATTTAATTCTCATTAAATGTAATTTAGATTAACCAGGTTTTAATGTCGCTTGTTTTTAGAATATAATAAAACGTGTTCAGTGTCGACATGAAACATATATAAAATATACTGTTGTTTAGTACAATTTAGCCCATATTAATTAATTAGCAGGCTAACATGTACAATAAATGAAACTCCATAGAGGGTTTATGTACGTGTCCTTTAAAAAGTTTCAGGTTGCTGATCTACCTGTCGCGGACAAAATGCGTAACCGATTTGACGTTAGCTGTTTATCATGGAGGAATATGCCCGTGAACCCTGGTAAAGTACCTGCTGACTTCTGATGAGTCCGTCCGCGCTTCAGGTCACGACAGGACGTATATAATTTTAAGAAGTTTATGATTTCTATTTTCGCTTGGATCGTTTGCTTCTTTGCTGTCATTCTCTCTAAAGTACCCTGCTAAATACTATAACAATTTGTGTAGCTTTGATACATTTCTCGAATCACACACTGGATTGAATGCTTTAGCCTTTATTTATTTATTTATTTATTTATTTATTCAAAATCCTTAGGTCGTCTATCAGATGTATATATGAAAATGAACATACAGTGCCTAATGTTTAGCCGTATTGTAAATCTGTTGTGGGATAATGTATACGTTTTTGATGGAAGATATTTTAAATCACTTTTTTCTGCAAGGCATATGTCATATTGAACAGTGAAAAGTCCTGTTAATGTAAGACATTACTCCAGATATTAAACAATGACCGTGATTTGCATTTACTACAATGAAGAATACCTTTTCTTTTGTAAGTCCATTTTTTCTTTGTATTCTATAGTCTTCAAAAGGAATCATATAAATAATATGGTAGGCTAAATTTAATGCAATCCAAAGTTTTTTTTTTTAATTAACATAACAGACTACTTCAATAAAATGTTACTCAATTTCTCTGGAAAGATATCTAAATGATTAGTTTTATGATCAAATCTTTGTCATTTTTAAAACATCACCCAAAAGCAGTACATTGTGCATATAAGCAAGTAAACTTGTTGTTCACCTTGAAACATTAGTATCAATACCAAATGTATTTACCTAGTTAATTACCTAATAGAAATAATTTAATATTTCACCTTCAAGCAAGGGTTGCACAATTGTTTCAACATTGATATCATGTGCACACCTACAATACTCACATCGCAGGATGTTCAATGTTGAGCTGCGATTATAGTTGAGCAGGAGCTACAGTTCCGAGTACATGAGATTTGTGGGGTCACTGTTGACTTTAACCATGATTTAGTGAAAGTTTATAATTTGCATGTTTTTAAAGCAGTCACAAGAAATAGCACACTTTGTTTTTTATTCAGTACCTGAATACTGCTTGACAACCCAGAAAAACATAAAGCCATGTTTATTTCATTTTACTGTATTTATCTTCTTGTAAGTTGTTTGTTTTTGAATGCATAATTCACTCCCCTGTTGAATTATAAAACAATAGGGGAACAAATAGAACAAAATCAAAGTATTTTTAACTCATTTTTTAAAACATGATAAGGTTGTTTACACAAAATGCTGTATTGGACACATGAATGACTCATTAATGGACTCACTCAAGGATAATTTCCCCCAAAATGTCAATGCTGCAAAACAAACCAAAACTGTTAAACATATTTTTGGAATAACCTATTTTTTATGTTATCAGACAATTATTTTTATCTAAAGAAACTTTAAAGAACTTTTGAAAATTTTTTATTTTTTATCAAAAGTAAACCTTAAAAAAAGTTTCAGATTTTTTATTTTATGCATTATTTATTGCTTTTGATGTCTTTTATTTTTTAGAAACGTGATATTTATAAAATGTTGTCAATTTGATCTGGTTTTTGCCATGATATAGCCGGAGAAGCTGAAGTGACAATAAATTTAAATATAGTCCAGCCTAAATATAGTGCAGCCTATTCACTTGCATTGCACTAATTAATATAGTGCAGCCTACTTTTTATACACAAACACACACAAATGAAGTCAGAATTATTGGCCCCCTGTTACTTTTTCCCCAATTTTATTGACTTATTTCTAATGCCTGATTTATCTTTGCCATGATGCCAGTAAATAATATTTTACTAGATATTTTTGAAGACACTTTTGTACAGCTTAATGGGACATTTAAAGGCTTACTGTTAAACATAGTTTGTGAAAAAAATTAAAAGTAAAATAAAATTAAAAGGGTAACTAAAAATTCTGTGTTTCTGACTTCAACTGTGTGTGTGTGTAAATATATATATATATATATATATATATACATACATACATATATATATATATATATATATATATATATATATATATATACATATACATACACACACACACATATATACACACGCACACATACATATATATATATATATATATACATTTGCTTATATATATATATATATATATATATATATATATATATATATATATATATATATATATATATACATACATAAGCAAAGACCTTGGATTGTGTACAGTAATTGATGTTTCTCTTCAAAGTTATTTTAGATGATTTGAAGATTATTTCGGTAATTTTGAGTCTATTGAATTGATTAATTAAGGTACAGTATATAATGCAGTTGACTTCTAACAGGTAATTTTCTTTTTAGCCCATGGAGGATAGTTGATGACTGTGGGGGTGCTTTTACCATGGGAGCCATTGGAGGAGGGGTGTTTCAGACTGTCAAAGGATTTCGGAATGCACCTGTGGTATGTTTTACTGTCAAACAGACGACTCCGCTATTACCAAAACACAATGCAATGCATTTATTATAAAAGAAAAATACTGTATTTTTATAGGGTGTTCGACACAGGTTAAGAGGTAGCGCAAATGCAGTGAGAGTAAGGGCACCACAAATTGGAGGCGAGTATTCAGAATTTTTTTTTATTGTTTTGTTGTTTCTCTGTTTTTGTACTGCATATGACAATTAAAAATTTGTTTAGCAGTTATTCATTATAAATTACAGCGTGTGTGTGTGTGTGTGTGTGTGTGTGTGTGTTTGTAGGTAGTTTTGCTGTTTGGGGAGGACTGTTTTCAACCATAGACTGTGGTCTTGTGCGTTTGCGGGGTAAGGAAGACCCTTGGAACTCCATTACCAGTGGGGCAATGACCGGAGCTATACTAGCAGCACGTAGTAAGTTTAGCACAGTTATTATAACTCTGTTAGAATTTGAAGGTAATGACACATATAATGTTGTCAAGCAAACTTTCACTAGGACAATTCATGAGAGTGGTGTTTTAAAACTGACCAAACACTGCATTTAAGTTGGACATGCAAATTCATCTTGTTCACAAAGAGAAATCTGTTTGATTTGAAAATGAATTCTTTGTGAGGTGTGCTTTATGCATGAAAAACAATGGGCCCTATCATACACCCAGCGCAATAAGGTGCAAGACTTGTTTGCACCGACGTGTTGCTAATTTCAGATCAATGCAACTCTAGCATTAAGTAGCAAATCCATTTGTGCCACTTTGTGGACTCATAGGTGTTTCATTCTAGAAAAGAAGTGCGTTAAGGAGCTTTGTTGGCGTGTTGCTATTTTGAGGAACTAAATTAGACTGTAATTGACCAGCTAAAAGCAAGTCTAAAGTCCAGCGCAGAGCGCGTTTGTTGTGTGCCCCACTTACACATTGCTTGATACACGCAAGATGGAATACACAAATATCTTTACAAATGAAAGAATTAAAAGATTTAAATATTACAAAACTTATTATTTTCTACATAAATATAAAAAACACTGCCTCCATGTCTTCTTTATCTCAGGGGGCTTTTTTAGTTTAAGTTTTTGCTTTTGTAAAATGTTATTATTAGTAGTAGTATTACTTATTATATGATTATTTTTATCTGTTTTATTTTTTAAAAAAGCTTGGATTTGCCCACCCCTCAGGTTTTGGACCATATAGGGCATAGCACATTTGTTTGGATATAACTGACCACACTTCATTATTATTGCTTATTTATTCATTTTCTGGAAATTGAACTGAATTTGTAAATAGTTTTGAAACAAATCTTTGCGCTTAACAAACAAAATTAAATATTTTGACTCATACAACACCGTTTCCTTATCCACGAAATAGAGAAAGTGAAAGTAAAGGCCAATTATAGCAGGCTCATTCTTTATCCTTGCGCTGCAGATGGTCTGTTTAGCTGCTTTCTCGCGAGTGAAGCTTTCAGTTTTTCCACTTACAAAGTCCGCCATGTAAATAGCAAATGTGCCATGGGGTGATGCAACTGACTCTTAAAGGGAATGGGAGATGAGACTCTGATTGGTTTGTCCTCAAAACACACCCATTACTCATTAAGAAAATAAGCAAAACCCTGTAGTATTACTGTCGTAATAGTTCATCATTAATCTGCACTCTTTAAGCTACCTCTGGTTTATGAGTTTGCAAGATGGAAAATATTTGCATTACTTGCATGTTTGTATTTCAGGTGGTCCCCTCGCTATGGTGGGCTCTGCAATGATGGGTGGAATTCTGCTTGCCCTAATTGAGGGCTTTGGGATTCTTCTTACTAGATACACAGCACAGCAGTTTCAGAATTGTGAGTTACACACTTGTATGTCAGTGACAGAAATGTTAACACTCACAAAACATTCTGTTATGTCTTTTTAATTTTTTTTTTTTTTTTTTTGAGAAATACAAAGATTGTCTAAACATTTATTTGTGCAACATTTATTTAGGTAAACCAATTAATTAAATGTGGTGTGCATCTGCGCAGTTGAAAAAAACTTTTTTCATCAATATTTTGGAAAATGTATTTAAATTGTGCTTTGCAACAAATAATGTATTTTCTACATCTTCTCTTCTTCTATAGCAAGTCCTATTGTGGAGGACCCAAAACAGCTTCCCCCGAAAGAAGAGGCACGTGGTTATGGACAGTATCAGTAACTGAAGTATTATAGACTGAATGAAAGTTGCTGACTGTTTACAGTGGTGATACTCGACTTCAGTACTGGGAACCCACTGCTCTGCACATTTTTTATGTCTTCCTGGTTTACAGGCCTGATTCAGAACATTAGCTCTTTAGCATAAAGCAGGGCTTCTCAACCACGATCCTGGAGAATCACCAGCTCTGCACATTTTCCATGGCTGCGTCCGAAACCGCATACTTCCATACTATATAGTACGCTAAAATCAGTATGCGAGCCGAGTAGTATGTAAGAAGTAAGTAAGTAAGAAGTTCCCGGATGACTTACTACTTCCGGCGAGATTCTGGAGTGCGCATCCCATGCATGCTGCTCTATCCCATAATGTCCCACGAGCGAATTCATGAATGGGAGTGAAGCGACGCAAATGACGCAGGTAGGTCGCGTGACCATGACAAAATGGCGGATGTAGTACGTCCGAGTTCCATTCATACTTTTCACATTCATACTGAATAGAACGTACTTTTCTAACGGCCGAGTAGTACGTTTACATTCAAATGCAGTACCTACTGAGTAGTAGGCAGTTTGGGACGCAGCCCATGTCTCTTTAATCAAACACACCTGAGTCAGATCATCTCGTTAGCAGAAACTGAAGGGCTGTTTCTCAATATGCGTTTTTCTGCCATCTTGCGTCCTCGTGTAACGTCATCATCAACTGCCAAAGTTCAGTTCTAAAACTCAAGACCACAAGAACGGAGGACAAGTGAAAGTTCCTTGATGTGTTCTTGATATTGAAGATGCTTCGATGAAGATTTCAGCTCAAAACTAACTCAAAAAGTCTTAGAAGTCAATGCGGCTGAATAAAGGCGGTGGGACGCACAGCATTTTATATAGATTTAATATTAAAGTTCAGAGATATAACTTATTTATCTCAGGAGTTTCCCTAAATGAAACGGTGAAGGTAAACATTACCATGAAAATCTTTATAAAGGCATAAACACAATAAGGGTGTTTATTCGCTGAAATTCCTATTAAAATTAGTTTTATTTGTGTTGTGCAGCGTATATTTGTAAGGTCTTTATGGATAGTATATATTGTAAAAAGTATTGTTGTGATGTTTATGCTGTAATGTTTAAATAATTTTCCATTAAAAAACGAAAAACGTGTGAAGGTCATGTGACCATCAGGAACAATTTAGCTATTTTCATTTCTCACAGTACGCGTTCTCTGTTCTCGCGGTCTCTCAAGTTTGCTCTTCCACAAGTAACTTAGCAAGAGCATTCTCCACAAGAATGCAAGTCCATTCTCTGCGTGCTTGGAATTGGGAAACAGCCAAAGACTTGTAACGGATGTGACAGGCAAAGGAGACATCCGAAACATACAGTGTTGGTGGTCTTGAGAAACACTGGCTTAAAGCATCATGGACTTAACTGTGTGGGTCAGATTAGAACAACATTAAAAACAAATGTGCAGTCCGGTGGGTCACCAGTACCCTTCAGAGACAGGGGATTACCCTGAAACCTTTGATCTTTTATTAGTTACTCAGGGGCAAGTAAATAATTTGTATTATGTATAGATTGTAATATACACTTTTAGAATTTTTGTGTTGCAAAGGAAAAGCATTATGAACCAAAGATTCTCATTCATGCAGAAATCCTATCTAATCTAATTGTTAAAACAGACTTGCTTTATACATTTCAAACAGGTATAAAGCAAAAATACTGTACAATAGGGTATATGCAGAACCACGCAGAAGGACTTTTAATTTGTCAGTTATCTGGGTCAAATGCTTCTGGTGAACTGTAAGCGGTTACAAAATCTGTGCGTTTAAGGTCTGATTTCTTAAAAAAAAATCAATGATCTTCTCTGCCAGAGTGATATACGCTATAAACGGGGTTTAGAATGTACAAGAAGCACTGCATGCATTACATTTTTTTCCACGCCATGTCTTTAAAGTATTTAAATTTATTTTACTCGAGCATTTCCAATGGCATTTCTGAGCTAGCCTGCTGATCATGACGAGCGCGTGCGAGTAAATGGCTTTTCATCTCTGTTTACGATTGAACAACCAAATGAATGCTAAAGTTTGTTTAACTGATTATATTTTAATCACATTGCAACATTGATGCTGTAAAAGGAACTTTTTAAAAAAAATTTAAAAAGTCACATTAAACATTCACTGGAAGTATATCAGTATGGGAAGAAACATTCATTCATTCATTCATTCATTTTTTTTTTTTTTTTGGCTTAGTCCCTATATTAATCTGGGGCCGCCACAGCTGAATGAACTGCCAGCTTACCCAGCATATGCTTAATGCAGCAGATACCCTTTCAGCTACAACCCATCACTGGGAAACACATACCCAATTTACCTGTACCACATGTTTTTGGACTTGTAGGGGAAACCGGAGCACCCAGAGGAAACCCAGGCAAACAACATGCAAACTCCACACAGAAATGCCAACTGACCTAGCTAAGGCTCGAACCAGCGACCTTCTTGCTGTGAGGCGAACGTGCAAAAAAACACTATCACTGCATATACCCTATTTTGAAATTGTTTCTATGCTAGCATAATATTCACAGAATCACGTAACACGTTGGTAGGAGATACATGCAAAATAAAAACAATGTGTTAAAATGGGCTGAAAATATCGAACTTTAAAAATGGAATGTTCACAAAATCAGAGTCTTAAACCCAAAAAAAAAAGAATTATTACATTATTGAACCAAAAAAATAATTATTACCCATTATATTTTCTAATAACTTATCCAGACTGCAAATAAGGTCAAAAATTGGTGCAAATATTTTGTATTGCAGGAATGTAATTGAGAAGCACTGGTGCAGTGCATTCCTGACTTCAGAAATACAGTGTAACAGCCTACTGTCATAATCATCTGATGAGTTTTATCACGCAAGCACTTTTTATTTTGCTTAAATTAGTTATTTATATCCATTGGAGTTATTGAGAAATGTTGTTGAAGATGATCATAATTTTATTAGAACATTATTTTATTTATTACGTTATTTATTTATTAAGTTGTTATTGAAATCTTTGAAAAAGGCTTCTCCAGGATGTTTTGCTATTCAATATGCATAGCCTCACCGTTCCCATTGTTTAATGATACAATTAAATGATAAAGATATACTTTAAATTCAATATGATGTGCAGTCAGAAGAGGAATGAAGTTCATAACTTAAATGTTCATTTAAATGTAAGTCATTTGCTTTTGCGTTATGTCTTGTTCATATGTTTGTGTGTTTTTGAACACTATAGAGACAAGAATAAGGTATAGAATACGTGTGTTAGCAGCCTGCCTCAATAAAGTATTTTTGTGTAATGCTCTATGTGTTTTGCTAAGGCCTATTTGTTTTGAAGACAAGTCAATCTTAGGTCCTACGCACACTATGCTATCCGTACCGTGCCCAGGCCCGTTTCCCGGATCGTTTGAGTGTGCTGAATCGGATTCAAGCACGGTTCACTTGGCCGGCCCAGGCCTGGTTGGAAGAGGTGTGCCTGAGCGCGGTTCACTTTCGCTTTGGCGTGGGAAGCTTGTGTGTGAGTGCAAAACGCGACTAAGGCAGTACTCACACTAGGCACAGTTGCCTCGAACTGGGCCAAAGCACGCTTGTCCCCCCTCCCGTCTCCCCCGACGGCCCGCACTCACACCACAATCGGGCCTGGGCACACTTACGTCATCGATGCTGCGCTGTTCAGTGAGAAGCGCTGTCACTCAACAGCACAGTGGAGATTTCTCTAGTTAGTCTCTATATCGTTTCAGTCGGATGATATGCAGTCAAATATTTTGCCAAACAGTCCTTAAGGGATGCGGTGACACGCAGTCAGATATTTCGCCGAACAGATCCGCCACTTTTGGCCCTCATAAACAATCATAAAGCCCTTGTGCTGCTGGAATGAGTAGGTCTGCTGAAGGCGCGCAGCTGACGTGCAGTGAGGGGTTTGCGTATTCAATAAGCTTCGGCAGTTTGCGTTCACTGAACAGTAAGATTGATTAATAAATCTATGTGAAACAGTCTCGCTTTCAGTTTCGGGCTTTGGTGCGTTTTGCACTCACACTACAATCGTACTGCGCCAAAGCCCAAGTGAACCGCGCTCAGGCCCACCTCTTCCAACCGGGCCAGGGCCGGCCAAGGGAACCGTGCTTGAGCCCCATTCAGCGCACTCACACTTCTCAAATGATCCGGGAAACGGGCCTGGCCACGGTACGGATGGCATAGTGTGAGTAGACCCTAAGCCAGAAACTGAAAGCGCAACGTGACTTTTAAGGGACTGTTTCATATGGATTTATTAATCATTCTTTCTGTTCAGTGAACTCAAACTGCCGTAGCTTAATACACAAACCCCTCACTGCATGACAACTGTGCAACTTCAGCAGACCTCCTCATTCCTGCTGCACAAGGGCTTTATGATTGTTTATGAGCGTCAAAAGTGGCTGATCTGTTCGGCGAAATATCTGACTGCGTGTCCCCGCATCCCCTAAGGTCTAAAGCAAAATAACTAAAGAAATGTCAAAAGTGCTGAGCGAAAGCGCTTACTGAATAGCGCAGCATCGATGACGTAAGCGATTGTAACGTGAGTGCAGGCTGTCAGGGAAACCGGAAGGGGGGACAATCGTGCTTTATCCCGGTTCGAATCTACTGTACATAGTGTGAGTACGCCCTTAAGTCAATTAAACTCACTTACATGGCTTCATCAGTCTTACTTACTCAGCTTAATATCTAAAGCAGCATTTGACACTTAAAAAATAGGACATTCAAAAGTGAATTTTGTACAAATGTGTATCTTAGGTCCATAACAAAACCATTAAAAATGATCTGTCTATTATTGTAAGGTCCACCCAGTTGGTCCAATGGAGGTATCCACTGGTGGATGAGGGTTCATAGCCTGATCGGTCTTTCCAGTGCGCAATGATGATTTATTTCAAATTTAACTCATATCTGACTCCAATTTGAATATGAGGTGGTTTAGAATAATATATTTATCTTTCATTTTATCTGACTCCAATCATTAAACATTAAGAAGATTATATCAATATATAATTTTGACAAATGTTTGAACCTTTTATCTTCACTCGAAACTATTGCATTTGTTCATTTGGGTGCTCATGTCGCTCAGAGGAATCGCCCCGGCCGATGGCGTCCCTCTCTTTCACACTCTTGTCAGTCTTGAATATTAAACAGAGGTAGATGATTACTACTTTTAGATGGACGCTCCCATGCTTGCTCATTCTAAAGTGTTTTTGATTAGTCCTCCTTAGATGTACCCTTGAGCAAAGACAAAATCAGAGGTAGGGCTATTATT